CCAGACCATGGTCGCGCAAACAACAAACTTCGCGGGAGTCCGTGTGTTGACATGTGTACCACGTGGCCCAGCCATTGGAGCGTGCCGAGCGATATAACGTTGCTGAGCGATTCACTCGCTATTCCTGCACCAAACATGCGAGGTCGAACAAGCTCTTTACTCACGCGGTGTTTGCACCAATTTTGAAAGCAAATTGAAATAGAACAGGAACAATAGGAGAATTCCGCCAGGGTTCCAATTTGAGAGCCTCGTTGATCCATGATATATCTGTGCAACACGATTTGTCAGCTGACAGTGGCAAACGGTACCCGTGCAACCCAGCACGGTCAATCGAAGAGTGTTCAATTGCCCTGCACTAGTAGCCCCTACGGTGGCAGTCCAGTCAAGCATAGACAAAACATACTAGAAGGAAGCAAAATGAAACTGAAATTACAACTAACATAAGCTATGCATTATAATGGAGGTGTTTTAATAAAAGCTCAACTATGAAGCGAAAGCTTGGTAACAGCGCACCATCTGTATCCAATTGAGATGCGCGCATTTACCGTGGATGCCAACACATCTGCGGGCAGGCCATTCTAAACTACCATTACGCTGCATTATAACCAACTATCAGCCCCAACCCGATCAAATCGAGGCTAGTGAAGCTCCCTTGGATGATCACAAGGGATTAGCAATCTCGCCGAGTGGAAAAAAGAAGATGGATCCGAGCCTAGTTAACCAATCGATTTATGATAAATGAAGGTCAGATCTTTCCTAGGCCGTCGATAGCGCTGCGAATTAACGCCCAGTCTAAGCGGTTACTCGGGAGAGGATATGCGTCATGACCCATACACCAACTTATTGCCGCGACTCAACTCCGCTCCACTGCCATCATGTCCCAAATAAAGCATGGAGGACAACTTTGCACGCAGTATTCCTCGTGAGATCTCTTTAAGGCTGTATACAGTCTAATAAAGAGTTCCTCTATAATGTTTCCGAATGACCAGCGAATCAATCACCGCATCCTGAATCCCTTGTATGCGGTTTCGGACCAGCTTTTACTAGAATTAGAATTCGATGACATTGTGACCCCAAGGTGACCTGCTCAGGCACAAGCGGCATCTCGTTTCCGTCTGAAAAGTGACTCGTAAGTAGATCACCATTCCCAGTGTGAAAATTTTAACAATTAGTGAGCTTTATTGGCAGTTGTCCCGAAACGAACTAGTCCCAGAGCCAGTCAAATGCACGCTGTAAGTGTTGAGAGCCCTCTGCGGAACTAACCTTACCCCCGAACTTAAGCGCGCAACATTTAGAGATGATACGCCTAAGTTTGCAAGTAGGTCATTTATATAAGAATGAACACCAGTGAGCGAAAACAGACCCCTGTGGTACACTAATGAGGACAGACTGTCTTACAGATAGAATCGAACCTACATCCCTGACCTCTCAGAACACCATTGCTCCACACAGAGTACGAAAGTTGACACCATATTACTTCCGTGTGGACAAAAGCCGAGAGTGTGGGACGGCGTCAAACGATCCATCAAAATCGATGAACAACAGGTCAACCGCTTGACCCCACTCTACCGCTTCGGACCAGCGTACTCGAACACGCGACAAGTTACTCAGGGAGAAGTAACCATTGCGAAAGCCAAGTTCCGGCAGGCTGAGCTGTCCGCGTGTCCTAAAACTGGTTCCAGTGACATCTGTTGAGAGCTTTACTAATAATTAAACCCAGAACGCTTGTTAAGTTGAGCGGTCTAAAGCGCTGAGGTGTTTATTGCGCTTTTCGAATGCAGGGCAGACTATTGCCACTTCATAGTCTAAGTTAAAGAGCAAGTGAAAAGCGACTCTTCGAAGTGTCAATTAAAAGGTTTATACAGCTCAACCACTACTTCCGCTTTGGCGGAATTTAGCTATTATAGGAGCCTAAGTGTCAGCCCGTGGCTTAAAGAATCACAAGCTTCCTTTTTAATAAGAGGACGCGCGTTTGATGCCGCGTATGGAAACAGACGACCCTCGTAGTATCCTTTGCCCACGCAAGGCTGTTGGTGTTTGCGCGGCAGCAAAGCGCCTGCACTACCTTCTGGCGTAGTGCTGGTACCAACCTTTTGACGCCTAGGAATCTAAGTGTATAAGTCACCGAAATATTGATAACCGTTAGCAGAGAATTTGCTTAAACTCACACCTGTAAAGCAACATACGGTATCATAGGTGCTTTAACAAATGTTCTTCCATACTGGTCAGCTAGTGTTATAATCTACGCACTTGTCACGATACCGAAATATGCACTTTACGGCTCCGCAAGACATCTAGCCCAACGGGACCGCTTCACTCGCGGACCTGTAGCCAGATAATTCCAGTTATGTTCAGTGAGTGTATTGCGTTGTAGAGGTCAGAGGATGGGTACATGTCAGCCCCACCACATCCAGTTCAGAAGAGCAGAATGTGTCGTTGTGGCTCGCCGTCCCATCAGGTTAGAGCAGTTGCAGTTTAATAGCGCAATCCTGGTGTTCTACGCAAGTGAGTGGCAAACAGCCGCTTGAAATCCGCCTAGGACGAGAGACAGTACTAACCGTTTATCACTCGGACGGATGGGGCAAAAATAGTTCAAACATAGAGTCTCCTAGTTTTAAATCCACCGTATCGTGACCTCGTGTCCAATCTTTAATGTTGAGCTGGGAAAGCTGTAGTAGTGCGTTCTCAAGTTCTTCCCTTTGTATACGTTTGCTGTGGTCCCTGGGGTGAGAAGGGTTGTCCATAGAGCAAAGTTTCACCTGTTGGAACCAAAAAGGAGTAGAGGGGAAGTGTTCCAAAACCTAGAGATATAATTTGGGCCACTTATAGGGACGTTTTATATTAAGGTACAATGCAGGATGGAGAGTGGCAAGACAGTTAGTTAGCCATACTTGAGTACTGTGTGTAGGCGAGATGCCAACAGAGCCGTGAAGAGCCCGGTGTCATTCGCAAATTGACACTCTTATGGCGAAGCACACCCTGTTAGCAGCGGCCGCTCTTCTCAGTGTATCTGGATGGTCTTTAGGCTAGGGGCTGTTATTATTCCTATACTTCTCTCAAGGAGCCTTTTAGAGAAGAAAGCTGTCATTATGGTAGGTCAGGATGTCTCAGACAGCGCGCGATAGGACGCAAAACTTTTCATTATTGTTGGGTAAGTACCATTGGTTGGACCACTAGTTAGTTGCTCTAGAGGGTCTTGCAGTCTGTTAGCATCTCCGAGGACAGTTACCACAGACCGTAGCTTGAGGTCATTGGAATAAATCAGGAATTCACTTTGAAGTACTCCAGAAAGTTCGTTAATGAAGCGCTTGAACAATTCAAGGCCAAGAACAGAAGCTTGAGGAACGTCAATGGTCATGTGCATTGGCTAAGCAAGTGCCTCGTTTGCTCTCACTTGCATGGTTCTTTCATCTAGAAAACTCGCGATCAAGGAGTAGTAGCTGCCGCTGACACCTATTTTTAGAGCTTGAAAGCAGCGGTGCACTTGGAAGCTTATCGGAGGGTTTGCTAAAATCGGCTAAGACAGTACCTATCATGTGAAAATACTTTGCTTTGTTTTGCTCTCGATTCGCTTATTTAACTCACACTTCTATTTAGCACTCTTTGGCCCAGCCATGTGAGTTTGCATTTGATTGATTGCATTTCGAACGCCAATCGATTTGACTGTAACGCGCATATGTACAGACATGTTTACATCCATACGTTTTGCTGCTGCTCTAGTTTGACGCTTTTTCTGGATACGATAAAATGGCGTCGCGTGGTATCGATGTATTTCCATGCTACTGCTACTGCTGCTGCACCGTTCTGGATTGATCTTGCGGTTAGTCCCAATGCAGAATACCGGGAAGACTGGAAAATTAATTTTTTAGTTTGTATTTCTGTGCTACAAGTTGTCAATCAATACGTGACGCTGAAAACGGAGGATACTCCAGGGCTTTTATGTCGGCACCTCGGCTCAGAGGATCGACGTATATTTGATGCGCTAAATATCCATGAGAAACCTACGTTGACAGATGCCTTATCGGCCCTCGATAAACATTGGGGTGTTCCAGTGAACACTTAACCTTCTCGGTACCATTTTCGCAGCTGAAATATGCATCTGGTGAATCAGTGGATGCATTCGTTTCCCGCCTTGTTTATTCCGTTCGAAAGTGTTCCTATGATAGGATTCCTAAGCAAAAATTGGAAGCAACTATGCTAATACAACAATTGATTTCTGGTCACACTGATTCTCCGATCAGAGTGAGTCTCTTAATATAGAACGCAGAAAAGCTCATATAAGACATGGCCTTGACGTGGCTCAAGCAAAGATCGTAGTCACGGTACAAAACAAAAATTTCCTCCCTAACACAGGAGCTACTGAAATCGACCGTCTGGATTCTACACGCTCACTGACGCAATTCTCAGTTAGCAATAATTGTTACCGTTGTGGAAATGCCGAACATCGTGCAAATGAAAAGTCATGTAGAACAAAAGACCATCTGGTGAGCAAATGCTTTCAATGATTCATCGTCAGACCATTACAATCATATAGAGGCTAGAATGAGAAATCGACCCAGTTAGTTCAAAACGAATTGATCACGTGAAGGTCAATGTCAGAGTGGAAGAAACGAATTAGGTCTTAGAGGGCTAGATGTTCGCTACCGCGTCTGACCGAAGGCAGTCGACCTGGGCGTCTTCCATCTTCGCTGGCCAGGGAAGCTGGAGAGCCTGGACCAGCTTCTTCTGTGAGCATAAGGACGGCTGGAACAATCGAATGCATATTGCTTCAGCTGTCTGACGATGAATCATTGAAAGCATTTGCTCACCAGATGGTCTTTTGTTCTAGAGACTTAAATGGAAAAGTCATGTCTTGCAAAGAGTGAAACCTGCCGGAATTACGGTAAGACCGATCATTTTGCTTGGTTTTGTCGTTCCCCCGCCATTTCTTTAGTTGATTCTACAAATAACTCTTGAGATTATCTGGTCACCATTGAACAATCAATATATGGCGTTAATGAATGCGTACATCTATCTTCGTCTCCGACTCTAGAACCAAAACTGCCTTCCCCAGATATTCGTCGCGTGTTTTTGAAGTTAGAAACAAAACCATTTGTCTAGACATGGAACTGGATTCCGCGTCACCAATCACATTTGTGCCATATTGTTTTTACCAACCGGATTGTGATCAACTAACTGTAAATCCTTCTGCTTACACTTTCAGCAGCTACTCCAATGGTGGTGTCCACATACTCAGGTTTGTTACGGTTGCAATGTTTCTTGTAAACAGCAGGAGGCATATAGTTGAAGTTTACGTCTCTAAAACTGAAGTAAACCTCTATTTGGACGTCATGCCTTGGTCTTGTTTAACGTATCATCATGCGTCAGCCGGATGAACAATGTCAGCATCAACCTTCCTTCGTTAGCTTCTAGTTACTGAATACTGAATACTGGTTTGAAGCAGCGAGTAGAGCTTTCTCTGTGTAGCTGCATCATTTGTCGCTCTTGGACATATACTCCTTATTTATCGTTACGCTCTCCATATTTTGCCTCTGCAAAGTGTTTGTCTAGGAGCTCCTTAAATTCGGACACTGAGTTCGCCTCTACTATGCGCTGCGGCAGGTCGTTCCAGACATTCACCACTCAGTGTTTGAAACAGACTTGGTGAGCGACCCGCTTCAACTTCGGTACGATAAGTTTATACCGGTGTCCTCGCGTGCAGCTTGGTGTGCGCAGATGAAGCATTTGTCTCAACATGGGGTAATCACTCAGATGTAATATCCAGTGCGTCATGATGAAGTCAACCCTCAGCCGACGATAAGCTAGGGTGTACAGCCCTAGTTTCTTACATCGGTCTTCGTATGGCATACCTCGTAAGTTGGGAATCAGCCTGGTGGCTACATGCTGCACCCGTTCAAGCTTTTCTACCTCGCCCAGATTGATGGGACAATACGCGGGAGAGCTGTACTCTAGCTTTGGTCGTATTATCGAGACCAATAGGCGAGTAGCAATCTCTTCGGACTAAGTGTTGAAGCTGCACCTGAGCGTCCAAAGCATCGGAAGGCTGTTTTGGTACAGCCTATTCGTGTTGTCAATGGACTTCAGGTCGCAGCGTGAGAGCACACTGAGGTCGCGCACGAAAGGTTTGGGATGCAACGGTTGACCAGCCACTGTGTACATTCGCTGTGCTCACACTTTTCCTACCTCATAAATTGCGACTTGGCAGGGTTGATCGGAAGGTTAACCTCTGCAGACCATGTCGAGAGGCGATCGAGGTCCTGCTAAAGTAAATCACAATCGTTGAGCGTGCGGATTACTTTCCACACCTTCAAGTCATCTGCAAACAACGCACAAGGTGATTGGAGTAGATGAGGCACATGGTTTACATAGATCAGAAGCAATATCGACCCAGTACAGTGCCTTGGGGCACGCCGCTGCTCGATAGTAGGGTCCCAAAAGCAATACATCGCATTCGGTTGATCGCGGATTATAAACCGTTCATCATTTCTCATTCTAGGCCAGTAACTTTGGCCAAGCGAGAAGCGTTGTTGCAAGCTTTGAAAAATATGGTTTCGATCCACATAAAAATGGTGTTTAACCAGTAGAAGCGTACACTGCGCTCCGATATGCCAGCAAGCAGTTTAGTGTACCGATGCCCACGTGATGTTTCTGTTAGGGGCCCAACCAAATCTACTCCCACTATCTCATTCGGGTAGTCTGAATTCAGAGGCTGCAATGGTGCTCCCGGGTGATGCTCGGGTACTTGAACGCGGCGCATGTCTTACACGTCTGGCAAAAGTTAGTGAATTCTCTCCGTTGATGTGGCCACCAAAACCTTTGACGTGCTGCTGCTTCAAGTTTGTTGATTCCAGCATGACCCAGCTGTTCGTGCAGTTCAGATACCACTTTGGAAACTAATGACCGCGGAACTATAATTCTTCTGATCTAGTTTGGGACTAAAATCAAACACTAACACGCCTTCCTTGATGGACAGCCTGTCCCACATTGCCCATAAGCATCGTGCTTCGTAACTTTTCCTTCCATTTCATTTGCGTTAGGTTTGTCGCTCCCCAATCGTCGTTTGTCATAGATCGGTGATACGTCTGGGTCTGCTGCCTGTGCCTCCCGCCAAAGACCGTACTACGAACCTTGAAGGTTCAATAGAGCTACGTGTTGTGTACTACAAGTCGGGCAATCTCCATGAGCACGAGTAGGAAGTCTGAATTGTGCGTAGGCGTTGTCATGCTGTGCACCAAGTCGGTGTTTACACTCAACATCATACGCCTGAAGTTGTTCCTGCCATCTTTCGATCTGTTCCTCGAATTGTCTGGAATTCTGTAACCAACGAAGTGACTGATGATCTGTTCGTACCAGAAATTTCCTTCCTAATAGGTAGTGTCGGTTTTGTTTTATAAAGAATACCAGGGTTAGCATTTCCTTCCTGGTTGTGCAGTCGTTGCGTTCTCTTGCACTGAGACTCCTACTGCTGTAAGACACCACTCGTTTTATTTCGTCCTGCCCTTTCTACGGCAAAACAGCTCAAAGAACCTGGTCGTTTGCGTCCGTGTCTAGAATACACTCCCCGGCATTTGGTGACAGGTCAAAAAAACCAACGCTGGAGCGGCACAGAGGGATTCTTGTAACCGATCAAAGAAAGTTCGACACTCGACCGTCCATTCGAAGGTTTAACCTTTCTGTAACAAGGTATTCAAAGGCGCTGCGATTGCTGACAACCCTTGCACGAATCGCCGATAGGATGAGGCTAACCCTAAAAAACTGAGTAGGTCATTAACGTTGGCAGCGGTTGGCCATAAGTTCACTTTCTTCTTCGTAGGAGGGTCAGTTCGAATCCCTATTCCCGAAATGATGAGCCCAATATACGTTACCTTTGCCTGTATTAAATAGCACTTAGATGGATGGAGTTTGAGGCCCACATTTAGTAGGCACGTTAGCACCTCCGTCAAGTTGTTTAGGTGCTCATCTTTCGTTTTTCCGTGTACAATGACATCGTCTAGGTAAACGAGACACATGTGGGATATCAACTGGTGTAACACTTTTTGCATCAGGCGTTGAAAAGTCGCATGGGCGTTAGAAAGGCCAGAAGGCATGGTCTGAAAAGCATAAAAGCCTGATGGTACTACAAACGCCGTCTTTGTTCTGTCGCTTTCCTCCAATTCTACTTTCCTGTAGCCCTAAGCCAAATCTAGCGCACTGAAATAAACTGATCCACCCAATGCGTCAAACAGACCATCGATCCTGGGTAGGGGAAAAGCATCTTTCCAAGTAATCTCATGTAATGATCTATGGTCGACACTTAGGCAAAAACCACTATCCAACTTCTTCACTCGAACAACCGGGGCTGCCAGTTGTGAAGTAGAGGGCCGTATTACCTACTTTTCTAGCAGCTCATCTATGAGCTTTTGCAATGCAGTCTGCTAATGTAATGGTAAGCGTCTTGCGGAAATTTTAATCGGGATTGCATCCCCGGTATGGATACGGTGTTTCACGAGATTCGTTCGACCCAACTCGGTACTTCGCCATGCGAATGAGTTTGAGTCGCTGCGCAACAAGCCTTTGAGCCGCTTCAGTGTCTGCTCATCCGTGACTCGGTCGAATAAGCGAATAAAGGCGTTAAAGTATTTCTCACTGAGTAAGGTGTCCTCAAAGGTTGTAAAAGCCTCCAAAGCACCACTTTCATAGTGTCTTAGCAATACTGTACAGTTATCAGTGATTACTTGACACCTGTCCAGAGCCAATCGACACTTCAACCGGCGCAGCAGATCCATCCCAACAATAACAGCAAACGGAATTTTGTCCGCAACAATAAACTCCTGGGTGAAGCTCTGTTCATCGACGTCAACTTGTGCGGTTAGGGATCCTCGAACGGACAACAATACTCCATTCGCGGCACTTAGTCGGCAGCAACAAGGCGCGCATACGCGTTCTGCTAGCTGGTTAGTCAAATTAGATCTGATTAGGCTCTTACATGTACCTGTGTCGATGAAACTTATTAACGGAACACCTGCGAGCTGTAATTTCATTGCTAAAGCTGATTCTGTGGTCGATGCACAAACAATGGCTGGTGCAAAGTGGGAATGCAACCGGTGCCACTCACTTGGGCGTCCGTCATTGTAGCGAGATAGTCCGCGGTTTGGTATTTGTCGGTGGGTCCATCTGGAACCCGGTTGCTTTGGTCGCCGTGAGCTGGAATATCTTTGGCGATAGTCAGGATGCCCTGTAAAACGTTCCGTTGACGCACGTCTGGGGCTTCCGGTTCCCCTCAACGCGAAGCACCCGGAAGTCGGCGTAGCCTTCGCTCTGTCGACTTGCACCAGTTGTTCGCCAGTTCATATGGCTGCATCCAAATGCTCTGGGGGTGAAGAAGGAATTCACGCTTAATGAAGGGTGTTTGGATTCCTTCTAGGAGTTGCTCTATTGTTCGTTTGTCACGCTCGCTTGATATTTCTCGCTCATATGCGATGTCGGCCACCTTTCGGGGTTCGCGCACATACGTCCTAATGTTTTATCCTGGCCACTGGTATCGGGAGTCGAATTCGCTGCGTCGGGGAGCAGGTAAAGCAGGAGGGTCCAGTAGGTGGCGCAAGGCAAAGAGCGTCTCGGTCGTGACTTCTTTCTCCAGAATTCTACTATCATCAACGGTATAAAATGCATCACCTGACAGCAGACCGGCGAGCACGCCTGAATGTTGGTTGACTGGAAACTGACGTAGGTAAAGCTGGAATTGCTTATCCATCTGGAGTACGTCATCACGGGAGTGTAGCGTTCCGGAGGAGAGATGGCATGCATGCAGACTGACGAATTCGAGCCTGTTGCTAATTTCTCAAAAGTACGGGACCAAATATCCAGTGAAGTGGAAAGCCTGGTCGTGGGGTCAACAACATCGAAATGGCTTTCGTCATCAAACTTTTCGTTCATTTTCGGCATGATTTTATTAGCATAATGACGGTGGATTCCTGGTTCTTGTGACTTGGCAGGGTTACCACTTTTGTAATGCGCAAGCACGAAAGAACTCCAAGGGCCTAGAACGAAGTTCTATTACACAACACTTAGCCTCTACAAAAGGTAAAAACATGAGGTAAATTGGAACAAAGGAAGTTACAGTTAACCAATGTCGTCGTGTCCTTGTTCTCCTCCGGTAATTGAGCAGGAAAGGTGCTCTGACAGGCAAACGGGAGTGAATGCAACAATTCAACTTTGGGCGCGAGCCAAAAGAGTTTTGATTTTTTTCTATAGAAGCATAACCCAAATTTTGTTCTATCGAGGGATGGTAAGTTGAAACAAATCTGTACGGTAAACGATGGAAATAAGAATAAGGAAGTACAGTTGGGAAGAGAAAATACACAATCGCTGCAGAAGACCCCCTAGTGCGTAAGTCGGAGACGAATGCTCGATACGTATGTGTCATTTATCGTAGTCTGGAAGGAAGCATAATTGCACGTCCGAAGCGTGTTCAGTAACGCCAGTTTGTGTTTGTGTCGTGAGATGCTTGGGGTGTAGGCAAGGAATAGAGGTGTTACCCATGTTCTGTAGGAGGCGTAGTATGGAAGGACTGCTTGTCAGTGCCAGCCATTTCCGTGGGTTTCAGTAGGGGTCTCGTCTCGATATAAGCCGGCTTCAAGCAATCAATACTCACATTATGCTAATAACTAATCCTAGCCAGCACGACGAAGTTCTCTTTCCGGACAACTAGGTCAGGGGGTTTTGGTAAGTCGGTGTCAGTTTAGCGAAGTAAACAACACGTACAAGAACGAAGGAGCAAGTATGCATATCCAGAAATACCTGTTGACTCCAATGGCTGGTTCGATGGTTTGGTAGAAGAATTGAACTGGTTTTGCCTCAGGCGTAGGACGTACGAGGTCGGTTCAACTTCTCTAGCAACCTTTGCGTCTAGAAGCATTTCTCTAGGAAGTCTGAGATTAGTGCAAATCTCACCTCTTTAATAGTGTTAAAAATACCACGCAAGCTAATGGGTAGACTATTTTGAGTTGGACTGCGACTAAGTAATTAGTGCTTTAACTTGTCGCTGAAAAACTTCAAGGATGGCAGTAGCAGCGGAGTGATAGAAGATTGTTCGCAGGTTTGAATAACCGAGCAAGTGGATCAATTCACAAAACACGGCCGAAGTGAATTTGTGTCCTCTACCGGTATTAATAGTGGCTGACGCGCCAAAGACGGAAATCCAATTTGCGATGAATGTTCACGCCACAGTTTCTGTAGAGGCATCTCGTTAATGCACAGCAATTTGCTAAGACGGATAACGATAAACACATGTCGATAAGTAGACAAAAACCGTTGCATGGATGCAAGGGTTCAACGAGGTTAAGATGAACAAGCTTGTCATTAGCGTCGGGAGGACTAAACATACCGGCGACGGTAATCGTGTGACGTTGGACCTTGCTGGTTTGGCAAGTGCTACAGGGTTTGGTCCACAGCTGGCTCTCGCAGCGCATGTTGTGCCAAATAAAGCGATCAGTGATCATCATGATAGTGGCTCAGATGCGTGGGTGTGAGATTCCATGCAGGTGGCCAAAGTAGGTTCGGCGGTATTGTCGAGGGACAGAAGGCGGATGCTTGTCGGCAGAAATGCCACAGTAAATTTTGGCGTCTGCGTTAAGGATTGGCTGCTGTGCTATGTTGATCGAGGGCGTTCATCTCAATTGCAAATACACGGGATCTCAATCCTGGTGAGCTGCTATGTTTTCTAAGTTGATCGTCTGCCGTGAAACTACGTGCAGACACATACGCGATGTGGCATCAACGACAACGTTGGTAGTCGCATCAACATGGAGCCTGTCGTTCAAAAACTGTGATATACAATCCAAACGACGATCTTATCTGAGGAGAAGTCGGCTGAACAACGGAAAGCAAAGGCAAGTGGTTTATGGTCTGTATGTATGGTAACGGTGTGAACTTAAAGCCGGTGCCGACAATGTTTGATAATGAGGTAGGCAGCTAAAAGTTCTCGATCAAAAGTGCTGTCTAGCACGTGTGTTGGCTGACGTTTGCGAGAGAAAAGGGAGAGCGGCTCAGGTTGGCAGATTATTAACTGCTGGAGAACAGCCCCGATGGTGAGCTGAGCTGCATCAGCCTTGAGGACGAGAGTGGTGTCAATGTCAGTCCGTAACTCACTAAGCTCAGTAGCGTTGGACAACTTGTGCTTGATCTTATCGAATGCAGTAATAGCTTCTTGAGTGGGTTGGAAAATTTGTGATTTGACTTTATATAACTTGATCAATGGCTGGAATAGCCCAGAGCAAGCTGGGAGGAAGCTAAGGTGGCAATATTTCATGTCGAAAACGAAGGAGACAATTGAGGGATTGCGGTATGGTTAACCGGAAATAGCTTGTGTTTTCTCGGGGAGTTAACTAACACCGTTGCACCCAATTCGGTGGCCCCACAACATCTAGAGAACGTTGGCCATAAACATGTTTGTCAACCTTGCTCGCAACGCCGCAATGAGCAAATCGTACGAAAATCTATCGAAGATGTAACAGCTGGCCACACGAATATCGTCAATGTAGTCGAAGAGGTCAAGAACCATCAATATACCTTCGGCACGTCCGTGGGGCGCGTGCGAACGAATTCATGAGGACCAAATAGCCCAGTTATAGCGGTTCTCGGAATATGATTGAGAGCAACCGGAATTAGGTACTGTGCACGCACCAAGGCAATCTTAGAGAACCGTAGAAGCATTGGACTATAGGTGTATAGGGAGCAGAAGGAAAAATCTTTTGCCAGCTCCATCGCTTTCTGACCATTGGTTGGAGGCCGCGGTTCGTTGCTGAGTGTTATTTCACAAGGGATCGTGACAAAGAACATTGTCTTGCCATGAAGACCAGTTGACAAACCATGGAAGTGCAGTAGCGGTTACGTATGGAGGACGGTAGCATTGTTTAATGTCCAGTAATCTCTGCATTGGCTCCAGTCGCCATTGGACTTGTAAGAACAATATGCAGCGTAGAGGACCATGGGTTATTTTAAGGACGCACGATACCGAGACGAAGCATATGTTCGAACTCTGCCTTGACAGTAGCGCGCTTGTCTGAAGGTTAGCGTCGAGATGGGGTTGCTACTGGCGGTCCAGGTGTTAAGATAGGGTGTGTACTTTCGTGCTTGGGCTCAGAAAAGCTCCATAAAGGATTGATAAAGAGCAGAAAACTTAGGCGGTAGATACGTGAACACGTTGTTGGCAGGCAATGCCAAGCGAGGACCGATCGTACTGATCGTAGTGACTTTTCCCGGAAACGGACAAGGATGTCAAACTACCACGCAGTTGAAGGTTACGCAGGTACACGATTAGGCCGAACTTTGTGAGTAACGCAGCATTAATGATAGGGCGCTGGACGTCCGCAATGAGAAAAGGGAAAATTCCTACGGAGCCCAATGTTGAGAATCAGTGTTTTTAGCCGTATGTATGTATCCTAGTGTTGTTAGCCGCCTGCAAGGTCAGCCCGGTTGGAAGTAAGTTGCGCTTTCCTGCAGCACGAGGAATTAGGTTAACCCTAACCAGGACCGCACAGGCATTTTACAGCAATTTTTTGGAGCGCTGCTGCCATTACAGCGTAGGTGGAAAAGGCTGTAGGAAACGCTATATTGGCCCATAGCGTGAAGATCTGATTTACAGACCTTTTTGCTCCGTGGTCAACTGAAGCATGCGCTAATGGCAGGCGGCCTGTAAGTGACCTCAAATACGTTTGCTAGTTGGTCGGTAGCACCCACCACTGCCGTAAGTACGCTCGGGTAGCCTACACCGTGCAAGCCATCTATAGGCGAACATTTGGAAATGAACCCCGGGTAGGACCGGCTAATAAGCATACTTAAAGACACTTGTTATCATAAGGGCACGAAAGTTACAAGCACCCGAGGTACTAAGAGCCTCGCGCGACACGCCTGGGCGATCAGTTTATCGTAGTCGGCAGTGTGGTAACCTACTCGGCAAAGTACCGGATACGTGCGCACCAAAGGAAATGGGATACAAAAAGCAGCCGCGTTACCTCGGCAGCGGCGTCAAGCAAGGGGCCAGAATTGGTTGAGGAAACGTGTACGTGAATTGGGTGAATGTAAGTGTAGTTGTACGCAGCTGTCACCATCTGAGGCTGACATTGAGGTTTCCCTGCTGCAGTTTGTAGAATGCCTTCGAGTGCTTATAACCAGGTCGACAATTCCTTGCATCTGCCAAAACAGTGATGGTAGCAACAAGAATCACATAGCGAAGTCGTGGCGGAACTAGGTCTGCTTCGAGAGGAGCAACCAGGGCTTCTACCGCGGTAGCGACTAATACTCTAGGTAGCGAGCTTCAGCTTCGACAACCTCTCGGAAATGGCTTCAATTGGGGCAGTCTTATGTGCGGCGTCAGCGGTCAACTCAACTGAGTGACATGCTGGGTTTTAAGAGTGCGCTCCTGAACGTTGTCTGCTGTCTCGGCTGGATTGTCCATAGATATAACATCTGCGCACGCTGCGAAAGAGAGCTGAGGTGTTCTCTGGAAGCCATTTCCTCTAGAGTTGGCGCAAAGGTATGTCATCGATCTTAGAGAAACCGATTAACCTACGCATGTGCCTGAGGAGTTGTGACGGCGTGCGATCGCCTAGTTCAACATCGGCGGGTAAGTGTCGAAGCCTAGCTCCGTCGGAAGACG